AAAATAAAACAAATAATTATAAACAAATACAAAATCAAATAAATAAAATAAACAGAGAAGTCAGAATAGAGTACAGAATCCAGCCCACTCTTGGGTGTTTGGCTTGCTCCAGGCCCTACCTATCAGTGAGTGTGGGTGAGGGGTTACCTCTCGTGGTCCCAGGCCGGGTCTTGGCTCTCCCAACTCAGTTTGGTACTGGCTCAGAGCCTTTTTGGCAGCCTCATCCTCAGGGTAGAAGAGCAGGACACTCAGGACATTTTCCATGGCCTTAGACACGTTCCCCACTGGAGATGGCAGAAGGTGGGAAGGGGACGCAACAAACAAGACAGAGCAAAGAAAGCTGAAGGTCACCTGGAAAGGCCACCAACTCCAAGAAGCCCCAGCCCAACCGGGAGACGTGGCCACCTAGCGTCTCTTTCAAAGCATCCTCAAACATACCTTCAACAGCAGAGCTCAAAGGAGAAGTAAAGGAAGGTGAGAAGCAGCGAGGGCTGAAGGAGCCCAGAGACCCATGTCCTGAGCTTTGCGCAATGGTGCCAAAGGACACCATCCTGAAGCGCTGCTCCCCAGAGGGTGAGACTATCAGAGCAGAGTCAGGTGGGAAGGAGGAGGGACAGACGGGGCTCAGAAAGGCAGCAGAGATGCATCTTCACTCCCAGAATCTGTTCTCCCCAATCTGACCCTGAGCATAAGCCTCCTGCAGCCGTCTCAGCTGGCTGGGAATGAAGTCGGGGACAGGGAAGCTGCGACCAGGGCGGGTGGCTGTATCTGCCACGCAGTGCTGCCGGCACTGCAGAACCCGGATCCAGTGTCCTGCAGAGAAGACAAACGGAGCTAATGGATCGCGTTCCTCCCCTAGCATCGGTGCTCCCCGACAGCACACAGTCCAGCCCCTCACCTGCAATGGCTTCGTACAGGCCCCCCTGGCTCCCTTCCTCTTCCTCCTCTTCAGCCGGCTGCTGTTCCTCAGGCCCCTCACAGCCAGCACGACAGCTCTCCACATGGGCCAGGCTCCCCTGGAGGGCCTCCTCTAGCCTGGGCAGTGCCAGTGCTGCCTCCTGCTGCCCCAGGAGCTCCAGGCCAGAGTCATAGGCTGCCTGTGGAGAAAGGGAGCACAATTGATGGTTGGGGGCGGGGGCATCAAACAAGATTGGGAGGTCAAAGGGCATAATGGCATATGCTTTTACTCCTGGCACACAGGAGGCAGAGACAATTGGATCTCATTGACTACGAGCCCAGGGCTATACGGTGAGACCCTGTTTCAAAAAGGAAGATGGAGCAGGCAGTGGTGGCGCACGCCTTTAATCCCAGCACTCGAGGGGAGGCAGAGGCAGGCGGATCTCTGTGAGTTCGAGGCCAGCCTGGTCTACAGAGTGAGTTCAAACACAGCCAGGGCAACACAGAGAAACCCTGTCTCAAACAAAACAGAAAAGGGAGGCAGAAAAGGAATGGGCTTATTTGGAACATGAAGCTCCTCTCCTGCTGCAGGCACGGGGGGGGGGGGCGACAATGTGCCCTCCGAGTCAGAGTGTTGGAACAGCATACACTTTAGTGGCCACAGAGGAAGCGAAGTACTGGGGAAAAGACTCTTCACTCAGGGCCACTGAGAAACAGTACCCAGGTCTCCTGACGCTCAAGCCACACAAGGCTGGAGTTGGCAGCAGCCAGCCAGCACTGAGGGGCTCACCCAGTATGGGGGCGTCACCAGGTCCTGGAAGCTCTGGGGTCGAATCCCCGACATTCTTCTGTACTTCGCCATGTCTTCCCGCATCTGCAAGTGTGTTGGGTTTGCCACAAAGAAGGTGTGTGCTGCAGAAGCTGCCAGGTCCAACTTCTTCAGCTGAGGAGCCAAACGGATGAGATATCAGAGCCCAGAGGTGTGCGGTTTTTTTTTGGGGGGGGGTTCCGACCAATGTCCCTTCACCAGCCTCCCCCACAGCCTTATGGAAGCCTAGCCAATCACAACTGTCTCAATTAGAAACCGCCAAATCCCTTGGAAGCCCAATGTTGGGACTCCCGGGACTCTGGTATAGAAAGAAAGGAAGGAGGCCTGAAAGCTTTGGAGTGGGTAGGCCATGGGCAGAGGACCTCAGAGCCTCAGTTTGGGAGACAAGGAAGTGAACGGCTGAAATAGATGGAGACCTTGAGTAACTAGAATCTGCAGGCCTCTAGGACCCTGAGCTGAGGTGTGTGTAACTAGAGCCCCTCCCTCCCCCAGCCACGTAGGCATTAGCTACCGTCCTGGAAGCTGCACACACTGTCTCCTACCACACCACAGCCGTGCTTCCTCCCCTAAACCTAGCCTCCCTCATTCAGCCTTTCCGAAGCTCCGCCCCATCCCAAGAGAAGGCTCACACTCCTTAACACACACACACACACACGCACGCACACACACACACACACACACACACACACACACCCCTGTCCTGAGGCTGCTTTGGGCCCCTCATCCGCTTTTCATACCTAGGAAGACGCTGGGTTCACTCTCTGAGACCCGCTAAAGTAACACTGCGGAGCCCTCTCTCCCTCCCTCCATGTTCAACCTACATCCACTCCTCTTCATCCCAGCTTGACCCCCACTCTTCTTTTTTATTTTTTTGGCCCTCCCTCTGCGACCATCACAAGTCCTGGCCAACGTTTTGATGGTACCCACGCCAAGTATAGAAGCCCGTTATACGCCCCCCACGACTCCACCCCTGAATCCGGGCGCTGAGCATCCTGCCCTCTCCTGGTGAGCTCCAAGTAAGACAGTCACTTGGCTTGGGGTAGCACCCTGGCTGGCTCTCGCACCTGGTAGTAGGCCCTCTGCAGGTAGTTGTAAGGCTCCCGTCG